TTAAAGGAAGTGTGGCTAGCGTGCACATTGTAATTTTCAGAATGGGAACTGATAAATACAATATTGTCCTGAGCATTATCTTGTTCAGAATTTGCCTTGCTCCCAGACACAGAACATATGTGTATTTCATCACCTGTAGAAAACTCTGAGGCGATACTTGCATAAACTCCTCATATCAACCATACCTTTACTGTGTCATTGAATAAATCATTGATATTATCATTGCAATCGCCTGATATCTTAAAGGGATGACTGACAGTGGATTTTTTTGTTTATTTCTTTTGTTTTTTGTATGTATTTTGTGTTTTGTTTGTTTGGTTTTGTTTTTGTTGATCTTATTGGTTCTGGCTTTGCTTTTTGTTTTTGTCATTTTATGACTGCTAAAGTTAGTTCCTGTGTTATGTATCACTCATAATGCAGGAACAAGCAAATGGATTCTGGGCTCCCATATAATTCAAGAACAGTTCTTCTAACACTGCCCTGTTTGATACTCTCCTTCACAAAGAGATCACTGAAGGTAAGGGCGTTTCAGCAAAGTGTGTTGAAGAAAGCAGATGTCTCCAGCTATCAACTGGAATAGTGTCTGGGGTCTTAAAGGCTTGTATTCAAAACAAGCAGCCATCGAAATGAGGTGTCAACTAAGTCCACAGGGAAGAAGCACACCAGCCTGTGTGATTCAAAGATAACAATAACAAAATCCAAACACGATGAAGGGAAAAGTAGCAGAGCTTAAATTGTAGAGGGCTGTGGAAGATGGTGGGAACCCCAAATCCATCAGGTGGTCTTCTTGGATTGGGCCTCCGGCAGATCTCTAGCCACAGGTGAGGGACTCGAACAGCTTAACTATCAGACAGAAACTATTGTAAACTGGATTATGGTGGATTGAGTCATGGTATAATATGATACTTGGTCAGTTTGACCTCTCTCTCTTGACTCAACCTGAATTTGCTCTATGCTAAGGCGACCAGATTTTAACATTGGTAAAGCGGGACACCATTGATAAAACTCATATCCTGGCAAAATAGCCACATGGCAGCCGAAAACCGTATACCCTAGCTTGTCGTGCATTCTTTTCAAAAATCTGGACTTTTTAAAAATGCCGCGGGACGCAGGACAAACTGTTGAGAATTGGGACTGTCCTGCCAAAAGCAGGACATCTGGTCACCTTATCATAGTGACCCTGTAGATCAGAGTAGAACTGCTCTATAGGCTATAAATCTTTATGGGAGCAGAGTAATCTATCTCCTGAGGAGTGGGTGGTGGGTTTGAACCACAAACGTTGGCAGTTAGCAGTCCAATGCCTAACCCAATGTGCTGCTGGGGATCCTTTTTGCGTTTCTTCTCTTTCTTCCCACACTCACCCCTTTGCTCTCTCTCTTATTCCCTCCCTTACTTCCTCTCCCTTTTTGCAGTTTCAGCCCACAGCATCCCCCGAGAAACTTTAAACTCCCTCAGGTGAATATAATTAGCAGCAAAGGGTGAGGCCAGACAGGGTCCTTGGAGCTGCATAGTTCAGAAGCACGAGTCCATGACTAGAACTCAGGTGTGTGTGATACTACCAGGTGACAGGCCCTTTACATGCACTTCATGCTCAGAGCAGTCCTGTTAAATACACCAGCTGCTGTTGAGTTGCTTCTGACTCATGGTAACCCCATGGGGTTCAGAGTAGAACTGTGCTGCATGGCTGCTTTTTCACCAGGCCTCTTCTCAGGTCCCTGGTGGACCTGAACTGCCAACCTTACTGCTAGCAGCTGAGCGCATTAACTGCACCAGCCAGGGATTCCCAAGAGGAAATCTAGGCTGCCTCCAGAGATGACGTAATTTACTGGAGGTCACAGAGCTAGGAGATGGTGGTGCGGAGTTTGACCCCATGTACACAGGCCCGTCTCAAGAGAGGAGGCGTAATGTGAGTTGACTGGGGAGGAATTCTTTATTTCTCTAACTGCAGTGATTGCAATTCCTCTCCTAGAGACTCATTCCTTTGGGTTCCTCCTCCCCTAGAGCTATTAAAAAACTCAAAAGCAAGCAAGCAAATCCCGCCTCCACCATCACCACCAGGTAAAGACCCCTGGGAGGTGTAGCAGGTTAATCAGATCTTGACGCTTAGCCACTGAATGCCTGGTGTTTTGAAGGGAGGGATGTCGAAAAGGATGCCCAAACATGGGGAAAGGATGGACCGGCAGTCCCTCAGCTACAGACTTGTTTTCCTAGGTGTGTCTTTAAGCTGAATTTGTAGGTAAGTTGGAACAGATGCATATGATTCTTACTTAGCTTTGAAGCCTTTTTAATTATTTATCTGCTGCAGGTGCAGCAAGGAGAGGTGGTTGAGATGAAGATTTTAGGGTTGGTTGCAAAGAGGGGTTGGTTTAATCTTTTCTATCCACTGCCATCAAGTTGATGCTGACTCATAGCGACCTGTCATACACAGAATTCCTGGTCCCTAGGGGATCTGAGGCTGTAAATCTTTGGGGGAGCAGACGATCTCGTCTTTCTTTTGAAAAGCTGCTGGAGGGGTTAGAACTGCTGGCCGTGGAGTAGCAGCCCGCTCACAACCCCACCACACTGCCAGGGATCTTTTCAAAGGGAAGGCAAACTCATGTAACATTCAAGGGCAAGTCAGAGTTGTCTGTTAAGTCAGATGTTTGTAACCCAGGGACTTACTATGATTTCCGGGCGCAGATGTGATCTAATATTGTCATTCTCCTGCTGAACATCCTCCCAGTAACCAGTCTCACCCAGATTTTCTTTAAGCCAAGCACCTCCCCCTCTCTGGCCATTTCTTGTTTTGTTTTGTGGAACTCTCTGGAAGTCAAGAGTAGAACTCTGTTCAATAGGCTTTTCATTCTATCTTTTTAAATGGTGGTAAAATATAAATAACAAAACATTTACCAATTCAAGAAGTTGGGGTAATACTCCGAACAGCTCTATGAGTGGATGCTATCATATCTGGATTTTACAGATGAGTAAACTGAGGCCCAGCTGCTTAAGTAACTTATCCAACCAGGTTCAACTCACTGCTATGAAGCCAGTGTTGCTCTTAGCAATCCTATAGGACATAGTTGTAGCACTGCCCCCGTTTCCAAGGCTGTAAAGAACATGTGGTGTAGTGAATGATGCATGGAGCAGTGTAGATTCAACACCAGCAGTTCAAAACCACCAGGAACAAGGTGAAGCTTTTATTTGCTCATGTAAAGATTTTTTTTTTAATGGTTGAACAACATAGAGAGTTTTAATCAATGGCACTCATGTAAAGATTTACAGTCTCAGAAACCCAGAATAAATCTGGAGCAAAAAGTCTCCGCTTTCTCCTGTGAAGTGGCTGGTGGGTTACAACTATGACCGCTGGGGTTAGCAGCTCACTACAGTCAGGGAGATGGACTCACTCCAAAAGGCGGATACCCCTACCTGAAATGTGGGAGAGGAGTGGAGGGGGTGGACAGAGGGGCCCAAGAGATCTGCTGCTGTGATGGCAGCTTCATAAAACCCACCCACTGCCACCCACCTGACCCTACACACCCAAACCAGCTCACTGCCAGGATCCATTCAATTCACAGGCGCCCTGTAGGGAAGAAGAAAACTGCCCCTCCCCTTCTTTCTGAGATGGTAACACTCTACAGGAGTAGAAAGCTTCATCTTTCTCCCACCGAACAGCTGGTAGCTTCAAACTGTTGACCTTGAGGCTAGCAGTCCAATGTGTGTAACCCGATATGCCACCAGGTTTCCTTTTCTGGGAGAATAAAAGAAAACCCCAAAATCAAACTCACTGCCATTGAGTCGATTAAGACTCATGGGGACCCTGTCAGCAGGGTAGAACTACCCTGCAGATTTCTGAGAGATGGATCTTAAATTTGCCTTTAGAGACTGTCTATCTGTCCTAAGCGAGTGGCCTCATCCCACTGTTTCCCTGGGGCTGCTGGTGGGTCTGCACTGCCTATCTTGCGGTTAGCAGCTCATCGTTGTAGCCACAGAGACACCAGGGAAGCCATTCCATTTATGCAATTTTCCCAGCCAGACCTTTTCCTATGCTGTGTGCCTCGACATGGGTCTGTAGCAGATCCTGTCTGGTTTACTCATCCTCCCCCACCATTTGCCTTCCGAGTTTATGCTTAAAACGGTCAGTTCACGGGTCAAGGTGACAACCCAGCCTCAAGGGCCTAGGTTTCAAGGTCTTTTAAAAGTTGCTCATTTGATTCGGCCCCTCTCCTTTGCCCATTTGGCGCTTGTTCATCTGAGTGACCCTGGCTGCGCAGCTAGGAGGTGGGTCCAGATCAACCCGGCACCTTGGAGCTCTTTCCAGGTTAAACCTCCCAACAGGGCTCTTTTCCTGAGTCCTCGGTGGGCCTCAAAATCGTCAGCAAACCCCATAACCCCAGGCCGGTTCCGTGGATTTTGCAACAACAGATCAATCCACTTTCTTAGCCTGCTGCCACTTTATCGAACTCACCGCGCAACGCGGGAGACGCGCTCGCCCCAGCCCCCGGACTTGTTAATGACCCATTTGGCTATTTGCAATCGTGACTTGCAGTCCTGACTTCGCTAAGCCAGTCTCTTCTCAGAAGGCTGCAGTAGCAGCAGCTTTCCCGCGCTCGCTCCTGGGCGCGCTCCTCACACGCCTGGCACCACGCTAGGCGTGTCTCGGTGCAAGCGTGCCCGCCCGCATATCGGCGGGGACACCCTTCGTTCCGGGGACTCGGAGCCATTGCAGGGTGGGCCCTCGCGGCGGAGCTCCGGGAGGCGGAGAAAGGAGGTGCGGGGCGTCC